CAACAAGAGCCGAAGTGATACTAATCGTATTAATACAACTTGTAGCAACAAGAGCCGAAGTGATACTAATCGTATTAATACAACTTGTAGCAACACGAGCCGAAGCGATCCTAGTCTTCTTCTTCTTCTTCTTCTTCTTCAATTCATAGACTGTCCCAGCCACTCTATAGCAGCTATGCAGCTGTTCGACTATAAATACAGGTGTTTCCCACATCTTGCTTCCAAAGATCAAGCTGTTCTCCCAAACTGCTTCCTCCGTCAGCTCTATGTAAGTATACCTATTTTCATAGTTCTCATGATTGTTCCGTGTCTGCGTACTTGTTAGGCCTTTCCTGGCCCTCCTCGGCTTCTGTCTGACAATAATCACTCGTCTACGCTTACGAATATTGAAGTGCCGTGGACGGCACTGCCCGGAATTGCTCCAGGAGTCCCGTCCTGATTATCATCTTTGCTGCTTGAACGGCCATGGACGAGCTACAGAGAATGCGTCCGATGTCTACGCATGGAGTTTTGCCTGCCCACATTCGTTGTCGTTCCTCGCACCACTTCCGGCACTCGAGGAGTACGTGTCTTACGGTTTGACGTCCGTGGCCGCAGGGGCACTGGTCGGTGTCGGCCTTGTTGATCGAATGGAGATAGGCCAGCAGGCCGATCTTCCCATTGCGCATCTGGGTGATGACTGAGCTGATCGCTCGATGGGTGCCCCTATGCGTGGTGAGGGTCCCTTTTCCGGGTCTGACCCCGAGCCGGAAGAGCTCCCGACCATGTTTGGCTGTTTCCCAATTCTGGTCCCATTCGACCTTCATGGCCTGGCGGATGGTTGGTTTTGTCGTGGCCGTGAGGATCTGGAGTGTTTCTGGTTCTGGTGGTGGTTCCGTATTCGCCGCCGTGTTCGACGTGTGGCCCGCAGCCTCCTTGGCCGCTCGATCGGCCGCCTCATTGCCTGGGACCCCGACGTGCGCAGGGATCCAGCGAAGCTGAACTACCCAACCTCGGTCTCGGAGCTGGTCGAGTGCTCGAATCGCCTCAATTAGGATATATTGTCCCGAGGGGCACTTGGGGTTGGCCATGGCCTGGATGGCGGCCTGGTTATCGGTGAAGATGAAGCATTTGCCGGGGGTGTTTGTTGTTGCGTTAACATCGAGTGCGATCTGTATCGCCAGCTCAATCCCTCTCAACTCTGCTGCATACACCGTGGAGGAGGTTGCTGTGCCCATGTATGCTGTTCTTGTTGCTTGGACGCCCTGTGTCCGCAGCATCGGTGCCACCGCTGCAGCACCGACATGGCCGTCAATGCCACTGCCATCGGTGTACACGCGCAGTGCTACCGCCTCTGTTGCATCGTGTTCCTTGACTGCAATCTCTGGCGATTTAGCAATTTGAGTGAACGGCGGAGTCCACCATGGGGGTACGATGTGTGGCTGGCGCTTCTCCAGTCGGTCGAGCTTGATGTTGTACTTATCCTTCAAAATGTTGGAGAATTGGTCCAGCGGACTCTGGGTTTTGCTGTTACCTCCCACCGGGGCCATATCAGCGTGGAGTGGCGTGGTGCAGATTCGCATAGTCGCTTCCAGAGCCGTCTGTTCGAGTTGTTGTGGAGCCGGCAGCAGGTGTGCCTCGACATCCACCGCCGCTCCCGCCGTGGTTCGAAAAGCGCCCGTGATGATTTGCGCGGCCCGTCGCTGGATTCGAGTGATCGTGTTGAGCATGGCACTCCCTCTGCCTCGGCTCTTCCCTCCCGGGATGTGCCACGCAGAGCATCCGTAGAGCATCTGCGGGACAATCATGGCGCGGTATACTTGCCGGAGGTTGACCAGTCCGGTGCCCCATGTTGATGATGCAAGGGCCGACAAGGCTGACAGTCGTTGTGTCGCCTCCGCTTCGACCTTCTCTCGGTGATAGTCCCAACGTAGTCTGGAGTCCATTTGAATGCCCAAGTATCGGCCTGATGGTGATGCCGGAATCGTGGCGTGGGGCAAGTGGAGAGGGCGAGTGGTGTTGTGTCTAGGATCTCGTGTGAAATGGACCAACTCGTACTTTGCTGGCGCGAATTGTGATCCATGTTGTTGCGCCCAAGTCTCCGCCTTTCGATGTGCCGTTTTCAGGGTCTTACAGTTGCGTTGGACGGTCGAGCCCGTGGCGAGGATGGCGACGTCGTCGATGTATCCTCCGACCTCGGTATTGACGGTTTTGCACGCTTCGATAAGACCCGGGTTGTAGTACAGGTAGAGCATTGGCGACAGCGGAGACCCTTGCGGTATTCCGGTCTGGATAGGTACGGAGGGCGCGGTGTACTCCTGGAGCTTGATCGTGGACGATCGATCCTTCAGAAAAGAGTCGATCCATCGCACCAGTGTTGGACACACCCGTCGCGCCCGGAGGTTGTGCAGTAGTCGCGGTCGGGAGACATTGTCGTAGGCACCTGACACATCGAGTAGCAGCAATGATGCCACTTCTCCGTCCGTCCATGCTTTGTGGATACGTTGGAGAAGCAGGTGTATGGCGTGATCTGTGGATGCGAGTTTGCGGCCTCCTATGTGTCGACTTGGGAGGAGGCCGTATGTGTCTGCCAGGTAGGCCAGTCGGCTGGCTATGATGGCTTCTAACGCCTTCCCGAGTGTGTTGAGGAGGGCTATTGGTCTGTATGACTTGGGCTGGGTATAGTCGTCCTTCCCGGGCTTTCGCAACACGACCGTAATGCTCTTCCTGAAGTGTGCCGGGCAGTACCCTACCTGGAGGCAGGCGTTAAAGAGTCTATGGAGGTGAGGGAGGAGGACCCCTATTGTCTGGTGCAGGATGCCGTTGGGGATGTTGTCGGTGCCGGGAGCTTTGTTCGGTGTTGCCTTGCGCACTGCCCTCTCGATTTCTGTCTGGGTGATCTCGGGACATTTGATCGGTGGAGGGTACACATACCCATTAATGTCGGATAAGTCAGCATTTAGCGGTGGTGGAAAGAAGGACTGTCGAAGAGTCTCAACCTTTTCTTCGGCTTGTGTGGCAAAGCCTCCCCCTGGCTTCTGGAGCGCAGGTGTGCAGGTGGGAGTAATAGTGTGTCGGTTTTTGGCCCACTTGACTAATCTCCAGAGGCCCGAGTCTGAGGTTGACGCCTCCTCTACTCTTTGCCGATGAGTGTTGCGAAGAGCCTTTTGAATATGTCGGCCTTTCGAGTTGCGTGCTACTCGATATGCTTCATAGTCGTCGTCATCTCTAGTTTGTTGCCACCGTCGGCGTAATCGTTGAACTTCGACACAGATATCTTTACATTCCTGATCAAATCCTGATAGAGAGCGTGACGACGGGTTAGACCACGGTGTTGACGCGTCGATACCGACTTGGATGGCGTTGATGATGAAGTGCGTGTATCTGTCAATGCCGTCTTTCTCGCTGAGCTCCATGGGGTCGGGGAGCCTGGGGAGTTTCTCTTTGACTGTGCGCTGGAGTAACGATTCATCTGTCTTGGCCCATTGGCGCTTTCGGGGGAGGGCAGCGGGAGACCAGTCCCATGCGACTGCCATCGAGATTGGTAGGTGGTCCGAGTCGCAGTCTCGACTGGGGTCGACTCTGCAGTAGATCATGCGCGATGCTACTTCCTCCGAGCCAAACGTCAAATCAATGGTCGACTCTCCGTCTTTCCTTCTGTGCGTTGTCATCCCTGGCACCGTGAGTAGTTGTAGGTGGGATTCTTCGATCATGGTGATCAAGGGCTTGGCGGCTGCTATTCCTCGGTGAGTGTAGCGGCCTGTTGTTGACCAGAGCGGATGGTGCAGATTGAAGTCTCCGAGTACGAGGAGTTCGTCCTCCGGGTTCGTTCTGCGGATCGCATCCTGTAGATTGGTAAGTGTGTCACTTCCTACCTCGTTGTAGACGTTGATGATACGGAGCTTGTTGCCGAGAGTAGGATTGGAAATCTCTAGCGTGGTGACGTCTTTTGTGATGTGTGACACATTCCACGTGCTAGGGTCGATCCGTTTGTTAATGTAGAAACACACTCTTGTGGCCTCGTTGTCAAGGTAAGCGAGTTGAAAATCGGTTTTGAGTGGGTGATATGATGTTGGGATGAACGGATTGCGCCACGGCTCTTGAATGGCGAGGACGTCGTATTCGCGGATCCATCGATCCTGGAATAGGCTCGCCAGGACGATGTCTCTTGACTTCCAGACATTGTACTGTAAGATGCGAAGCTCCTGGTGTCCTACCATGACTGTGATGTGTCGTTGGCTCTGTTTGTGAGAGATTGACTCCGGGTCATCCGGGCGTTCAAAGGCTGGGTTGGTGGTTCGGAGCCTCGTCGATGGATTGGCGTTCCTACGTGAAGTCTGGGTATCCATGCCGGGTCGGTGGGTGCCTTTTTCCCACGTATCCCTAGGTGCACGCCGATGTTTCTCTCGGCGTATTTCACCCTCTTGAGGTGTATACGTAAGTCTGCCGCGCCCTTGAAGTCCCTGCCGCAGTACATACATCTTTTCATGCACTTGGTGATTATTAAGTCTGCATCCTGTGTTGGCCAATTATTGTAGACTTCCTGGTGCGAAGGGCAGGTACATCCTCCATATACCTTCCCAAGGGCTCTGTAGGTGTTCGTCGCCATAGAGGTCTGTGGGGACGGGCCCCCTGTGTTGAGGTTCCACACGAAGTTGTCATTGCCCACTAGGTTGTCTAGCCAGGTGTCGGCATCCTCAGCGGTAAATGCCCTCTCCATCTCGCCCAGTGGGTATGCCGTCGATCGGGGTTGGCTATTCTCTAGTGTGTGGGCAAGGGAAATGGGTTCTTTTGGGGCCTGGATTGACAGGTCCATCACCGGGTCTCCTAGTTGACCCTGTTGCGTTGCTGGCGTTTCCCAGTCTTCTCCAGTCGAGGGGGCGATGGGCGTTTGTTGTATGACAAGGTCCGGGGGCGCTATGGCTTCTACAGGTCTGCGCATTTGTGGTGGTGCTTGATCTGTCGGTTCATCTGCTGGTCGGTTAATAGGTGTGGCTGCTGGGGACTCATTCTGTGTAGGCGTGCTGCATTCTGGCGCCATGAGCTCCGTGACGTCCTCTGGTCTGAGCCTTGTTGTTTGTGTCGGGATCGTTGGTGCTGGCATTCGGGTCTCCTGGGTGCTAGCAGTTCTGGGAGGGTTGCGTGTCCTTGGGGTTTCGGTGGTCTCTTTCATTGGGACGTGCCAGTAGATACTTCGCGTCTGTTTGGCCTGTTCGACACGTCCCATTTCCTTCTTTCTTGCCGGGCAGGCATTACTCCACGCCGTATGAACACCCTTGCACACTGCGCATCGGGGAACAAACCCTTCCATTCCCTTCTGCCGACAGTGTTTGGTCTCATGTCGCTCGGCACAATAGCCACATGCTTGGGATGCGTTGCATTGAGTGCTGATGTGGCTGTAGTGATAGCAGCGGAAGCATTGTTGTATCCTGCAGGCACGGTCATAGAGTTCGCTTTGGTGGATCTGGCCGTCCCATGCCATACCAGCATAGATGATTGCATTGGCCATGGTCGGGTCAGTGAATTCAACGACAATAGAGGACGCAGACTTGAGCGTAGCTTCCCTCGTGAGCCATCCAACGTGCGATATCTCTGCGTGAGGGATCACGGTGTAGTTGTCTGCCAGTATCTGTTGGATTGTACCTTTCTGATCTTTCATATTGACGGAACTGGTGGGGATGCCATGGACAATCGCCCCATAGGTTGGCACGATGAGTTCGGCATGTTCTCCAAGACCTCTGAGCCATCCTTTATTTGTCTCAAGCTTCGTAGCTTCTGCTGTCGTGCTGGTAAATATCTGCAGGTCGCCACTCTTGAGTTGGTGTGCTGCGATGACCTTGATTGATTTGGTATTGACGTTGTCGCGGATTGAGGTTTGCACCTGTTGTCTGGTCCAGGCAGCCGACTGAGTTCGATAGCGCTGTGCGATGCCTTGGTCTTTCAGTCTGACCGTCACCACACGGTCTTTGTATGCGGTTATTGGTGCTATCTTGGAGGTATTATGGCCTGGTTGAGCCGGTGGTGGTGGGAGAGAGAAACCCTTTGCTTGCGCTGCCACTTGTGCCCATGACGTCGTCGGGTTCTTTCCTCCACTGAAGTTGGATGTATTAAGTGGGGTGGTACTTGCTCCGACGGTACCCTTCACGATGGCTATGTCTCTCTGTATGTTTTGTATCCCTTTAGCCGTGTCTTGGACCTGCTGGAGAATCTCGCGCATCGAAGGCTGCTGGAGCACTTTCCCGATGAGCGTGAGGGTGGATTCAATGTATGGTTGGACTATGTTCCATGGTATCTGATTGGTTCTGCCTTTATCCGCCGCCTGCAGTTGGTTACATGCTTCTCTGAGGTATGTGGCGTGCTCGTTGATGTGTTCGGGCCCATTGTTTACCAGTGGCCACCTAGGCGCCATTACCACGAAATCACGCGTTTTCGACGCGTTAATCGTGATAATGGCCTAAGATAACGTGGGTAAACTGATTTGCTAAGGAAAATTACGCGTTTTCAAAAATTTGTTCTGAGCTGGGTGTGGTGTTTTTTCGAAGCGATCCTAGTCGTATTGGTATAACTTGTAGCAACACGAGTCGAAGTGATCCTAATCGTATTGGTATAACTTGTAGCAATAAGAGCCGAAGTGATCCTAATCGTATTGGTACAACTTGTAGCAACAAGAGCCGAAGTGGTTCTAATCGTACAGCTTGTTCATGCACCAGCACTCCCTCAGCCACTATCGCGGCCACCATCCCTCAGCGGCCATCATCCCTCAAGGGTCACCATCACTCAAGGGTAATCATCACTCAGGGACTCGCCATCCCTCAAGGGCCACCAACAGGTTGGAGAGGGGATAATAGCTGCTGAAGTTGTGGATATAGTACATACAGCAGACCACGAGTGGGGCGACTGACGTAGTATGTAAAGTTCTGGAGAAAAAAGTCGTAGAATGCTGTGGGAGCAGAAAGTCAATATGACGTGAGAAAGCTGTGGAGAAGAGAGTTATAGTAATCTACCATGGAATGCTGTGGGATACTAGACAAAGAGCTGACCAATGATGATTAAGAGTGTGCTGCCACGTTTCCGGTGATATCTTCGACGATTGTTAGGGGTCAAAGGCCTCTCCCTATGATTTTCATTTTTCTACCTCGACGATGCTGTCATAGTATGCCAAAATGCTTGACTGTCGCCATAGGGTTGCAAGAAGGGACTGATAGATTCTTAATGTAACGTATATAGGGCGTATGCAAAGGGGAAGGCTTGACCACTACAGGATCGTCCTTTAGGGAGGCTTCTGGGAGAAAACAGTGCCAAGGACGATTGTCCTAATTACCAGGACAAAATCTCGAGGAGAGTTTGCTGGGGACGAATGTCCTGGGACACTAGATCGAGGACAAGTGTCCTGGCCGGGGGAAGCATCCTAGGACAAAGGCAGGACCAGGATTCTTGTCCCAACACAGCAAGGGATACTGGGAGGAATTTCCTGGTACGCAGAAAATCCCAGGACAAATGTCCTAGGCAAATCTATCAGCTAGTGCCTAGTGCCAAGAACCCCTACTCTGATCTATATAGGGGACCTTCCCCCCATCCATAATTATCTACACAGGAGTTTTCACCTCTTCTTTCTTCTTCTTCTTCTATTCATAGACTGTCCCAGCCGCCCTAATGGCAGCTATGCAGCAGTTCGACTATAAATACAGGTGCTTTCCCCGTCTTGTCAAGCCGTCCTGGTCAGACTGCTTCCCCTTCTGCTCTACGCAGTCGTACCTCTACTTATAGTCCTCATGGTTGTTCTGTGTCTATGTACTTGTCAGACCTTTCCTGGCCCTCCTCGACTTCTGTATGACAATAATCACTCGTCTACGCTTACGAATGTTGTAGTACTGTGGACGGCACTGCCCGGAATTGCTCCAGAAGCCCCGTCCTTAACATCATCTTTGCTGATTGGACTGCCATTGACGAGTCACAGAGAATGCGCTTGATGTCGACGCATGGAGTTTTGCCTGCCCACATTTCTTGTCGTTCCTCGCACCATTTACGACATTCCAAGAGAACGTGCCGCACGGTCAGGCGGCCATAGCCGCATTCGCATTGGTCAGTGTCGGCCTTGTTGATGGTGTGAAGGTACCCCGCAGACTGATCTTGCCCGTGCGCATCTGCGTGATGACCGAGCTGATGGCTCAGTGGGTGCCCATATGTGTGGTCAGGGACCCTTTTCCGGGCCTAACCCCGAGCCGGAAAGGGCCCCTACCATGTTTGGCTGTCTCCCAATTCTGGTCCCATTCGTGTTTCATTGTCTGACGAATAGCTAATTTCGTGGTCACCATTAGGGCCTGAAGCCGTTCCGGTTCTGGCGGCGGTTCTGGTTTTCAACTCTTCTGTCCACATCTCGTTCAGTTCGACATCTTCGCTCTTTGTCTTGAAGTTGTTCCCACCTACGTTTACCCGTTCATTCTTTCCAAGGGCCGATGTTGTGGTTTGTGTTAATGTCCAATCATGACGTCTCAGATCGAAAGCCAACCAGATTTGAATACTCTTCATTCTTTTCGATTTCGATGACTATCGCTGCCATACTACTCTCTTTGTCTAATTGGATGGATGACATTTAATGACGCTCCACCGTAGGAAATGTCATTTTTATGCTAAGATATAGAAAGCTTTAGTCTCCTTTGGGATCAGTCAAAGTTAGATGTGGATTCCCAACCTTTCACCTACTTATTTAGTCTCGTATTCCCACAGCGTGTTGAGCACCCATTGTCCTAGAAACACCGCCCCCCCCCCTCCAAAAAAAAAAAAAAAAAAAAAAAAAAAA